AGGAGGGTCCTCAGCATCCATTGCTAGGATAGCTTGTCCCAGTTGGTATCTATCAGGTTTGGATTCAAGGCTTGGGCATTGTCCTTGAACACTTTTGCTCGAGGCTAGTGCTCTACCACTTAGTCACACCACTTTTAGCCTTCGGTTGGATACTGAGAGGTAAGAGTTTCCAGCCATGCCTCCAGTCTGGCTCGTTGCTGATTAGCTGGGAGATGGAGTTTTAGAGAGATTGTGCCTGGGATGACATTGAACTGTGGCAAAAGGCGTCTTTGTCACAAAAGCCCTTTTTATTTCCAATTAAAGCAACAAGGAGATCAATAGAGATAGAGGTGACCTACAACTTGTTAACAATTGACTAACAATTACTTATCAGAGTTTTGTAATAACAAAACCCAGTAGATATTTTTTAAACTGAAACTTATTGACAGTCTAAATACCACCCATTGCCTCTGGGCAGCCTGCTTAAAGTGGCTTATCAACAACATTTCACTTTTAACAAATGTACAGACTTTTTCTTGAGCTACAGCAGTGTAGCCTGTTTAGCACATAATCTCAGTTCTACAAACTGTTTCCTTACCAAATGAATTTATGTGACTGGAGTCAGCTCAAGTCACTGCCAATTAGGACTTTGAACAGATACAAGGAGTTTGGGACTAAAATTATCCCTCACATTTTACAACCTTAGCTTTGACTACCCACTCTCACAGATGACTGACACGTTCCTGCCCAGTTAGACATGGGCATTAGGCATGCTTACAGACTATCTTCCCATGACATCCTGGCTCTGATCAATTTTTGAAGGTCCAAGCATAAATGACTCCAGGATCTGACACCATTTTTGCCATCAGATGTGCTAACGTTGCTGGGGTCCCTGGAGTACCTTTCTCCATGCTAAGATAAATGCATTTTGTCATTCTCCTCAGTCAGTTGCTAGACTTGAACTCAGGGTTTGAGCACTGTCCCTCAGTTCTCCAGCTCAAGGCTAGCACTGTGCCACTTGGAGCTGCAAAGCAACTCCACTTTGGTCCTCAGCTCCACCCATTCCTGAGCTCTACCCTGCCCTGGAGTTCCTGCCCTACAGTTGGCCACTCCCTCTTTCTGCCCAGACCCACTGGAGCACCCACCTAACTTCCTGTCCCCAGATCTTCCTGCTACCTGGACAGGGAGGTGCCATGTGCTCCCTCTGGGGGGAAATATGGCTCCTCTAATATACCTTACAATAACCTTTCTCCTGTGCCTGCTTGCCTCTGGGTGGTCCCCTGGGATGGCTGTGAGGGGTCCTTTCATTGGATTGGTTCCCTGTGGGTTTGCTCCCCCCTCCACTTTGAATGGGGGTCTGACCAGCTTCCCCAGGACCTAGCCTGACGTCCTACACTCCTGTCGCCAGAGGACCACCAAGGTAACTTTCTCCTGACCTAGCACTCTACCTGCTGCCCATCAACACTGGCTAATTAAGTCCTGCCCCAGGTTTCTGATTTCTGTATTTCCATAGTAAGGCCACCTGGGCCTTCAACACTGGCTAATTTAAATCCTGCCCCAGGTTTCTGATTTCTGTATTTCCATAGTAAGGCCACCTGCACCACTAACACCCCCCCCCCCCACCCCACTGACAGAAATCTTGGCCAAGTACTCAGAACTCACCACTAAGGCATACCGTGGCCAAGGGCCCCGTGGAGAAAATGTGTCCACGTTTCCCATTGGCCCCCACCCCAACCTGTTACCAGCCTAATTGCACTGCTGAGGATGCTCTGAGAAAGCTTTTGGTTCCAGATCACTTACTCCTATTGCTTCCTCTAATGTTTTCAGGGTGTCTGCTTTGACGTTGAGGGCTTGGATCCATTTGGAGTTGATTCTGGTGTAGGGTGATACATAAGGCTCTAGGTTTAGTTTTCTGCAGGGTGATAAACCAATTTTGCCAGCACCATTTACTGGAGAGGCTGTCTTTCTTACATTCTATTTTTTGGCTCCCTTATCAAAGATTAGGTGGCTATGGGTCTGCATGCTCATTTCTGGGTCTTCGTTGCTATTCCATTGGTCCTCGTGTCTGTTCTTGTGCCAGATTACTATGGCTTTGTAGTAGAGTTAGAAATTTGGTACTGGTATTCCTCCAGCGCTGTTCTTGCTGCTAAGGATTGTTTATGCTATTCAGGATCTTTTACTGTTTCATATGATTTCTTGGACTAGTTCTATTTCCATGAAAAATTGGGTTGGGTAATTGATAGGTATCACATCGAATATGTACCTAGCCTTTGGAAGTATTGCCATTTTCACTACGTTAATCCTCCCAATCCAGTAGGATGGGAGGTTGTTCCACGTCCTGATTTCTGCTTTGATTTCCTTTTTCAGATTTGTAAAGTTTTCATTGTAGAGGTCATTCACTTCTTAGTTACCTCCTAGGAATTGGGGCCATTACCAAAGGAGTAGCTTTCCTGATTTCATCCAAACTCTTCTCCTTGTTGGCATACAGAAAAGCCATTTCTTTTCTACCCTGCTACTTTGCCAAAGTTTTGAATCAGCTCAAGTATTTTGGAAGTGGAGTCGATCAGCTTCTTTGTCTTTCTGAAGAGTTTCTCTTGTATCCTCTGAGTGTGTCTCTGGGTGAAATAGCTCCTCCATGTTGACCAACTTTCTGAGCCCCTTGGTGGAAACACTTAGAAGGGGGCTGAGGCAGCAGCTTTGTGGCATGGTATTTTCCTTTGGTTTGTGCCAGGAGTTGGGCTTGAACTTAGGGTCTTGTGCTTTCTCTTGGATTTAGTGGCTCATGACTAGCACTAGTCATTTGAGCCATAACCCCACCTCTGGTCTTTCTGCAGAATAAATGCGGATATGAGTGTCTCAAACTTTTCTGCTTGGCCTGCCTTTGAACCTCCACCCTCAGACTCCAGCATCCCAAGTAGTGGGATTTATAGGTGTGAGTGACCAGCACCCTGTCTGTAATGTGTTCTCCTATCAGTCATGAGGTAGTGGATTGACCCTAGCACTGTTTATTTCTGGAACTCTCTTGAGTTCTCTCTTCTGTAAAGATGGTTAACAGAAAGGATGTAGGTGAGTAACATGCCTGAGCTGTGAGCATACATAGGTCTCTGTTCCTGTTACTGGAGTTTACCAGCTATTGCACACTTCCAGGCCGAGTTAGGACAGCTGTTTTCTCTACCTAGAAGTTTCATTATCCTTCTTAAAAAAACAAAAGAGAGAAACATTGCTGAGTGCTGGTATCTTACACTTGTAATTTTAGCAAGTCAGGAGGCTAAGATCTGAGGATATTAGTTCTTGAAGTAAACACCAGTAAAGGCAGAAGTGGAGCCATGGCCTTTATGGTAGAGAAGTAGCCTTGAGAAAAAAGCCAAAAAACCCTCAAGGAGGCCAGAAGATCCCTGCTGAGAGCTGCTGGGGTTTTCTGCTTCAACAGTGCTTGAGGGGAACCAGGTGCTGGACCACAATTCTGGCCATCTGCTCCAAGCCACCAACCTTGTGCCACCTCTTCACCGTGTCCTCAACCTGCCCGGAGGCCTCTGTTGTCAGCCCAGTGCTAACCCATTGCTACTCCATCTCTCTTAACTGCTGCCCTGAGGAATGCAGTCTCCTGCCAGGTGTGCCTGAACTGCTACCAGGACTCAGAGGCCACCATCAACCACCAGATCCATCTGGAGCTCTACCCCTCCTATGTCTACCTGCCCATGTCTTGGGACTTTCGCCGAGATGGTGTGGCTCTGAAGAACTTTGCCAAGTGTGGCTCTGAAGAACTTTGCCAAGTACTTTTTTGCTAGTCTCATGAGAGAGAGAACATGCAGAGAAACGGATGAAGCTGCAGAACCAGAGAGGTGGCCGCATCTTCCTGTAGGAGATCTAGAAACCAGAGTGTGATGTCGGGGAAAGCGGGCTGAAATTGACGGAGTGTGCACCTCACTGGGAGAGAGTGTGAATCAGTCACTGCTGGAACTGCACGAACTGGCCACTGACAAAAATGATCCCCACTTGTGGGTCTTCATTGAGACTCATTACCTGAGTGAGCAGGTGACGTCCATCAAAGAACCATGTTGGTGACCATGTCAACAACTTGCACAGGAGGAAGCCCCGATCTGGCATGGCAAAATGTCTCTTTGACAAGCTCCCTCTGGGAGAAAGTGATGAGAGAGAAGCCTTGAGCTGACCCCCAAGCCACACATGACTTCCGGTCACAAAGGCAGTGCATGCATGTTGGCGATTATTATTACCTTTTCTATACATTTTACAAAACCTCCTAAGTTCTTTCAACTTGTACCATTTCGTCAAATAAAGGGATTTGGTACAAAGCAAACAAAAAGCTCAAGGAGAGCGTGCAGGCCCTGAATGTCAGCTCTAGGACTTGTGCAAAAGAAAACCCAAAGAGAGCACATCACCCCTAAACTAGGAGAAGAGTTCAAGGCTTCATTTCTGATCTGAAAGCATCTCAGGTCTTTGAGATACACTGTTAATTGGTTGCTACTCATGGAGTCACCTTGTCCTTTTCTTAGTGTTTAGAACTCAGGACCTTGCAGTTAGCTGTGCTTAATAGGTTCAAACATGTACTGCTGGAGTTCCTCCCTCAATCCCTCCTGTGTGTGGGCAGTATTGGAGAAAGGACTTGTGTGTGTGCTGTTTCTCTTTGAGCATCAATCCTCCAAGGCCTCTGGCCTCTGAATAGCTCGGAGTACAGACAAGATGCACAAATTAGTGTCACTGTCACATTCTTGAACTCCCACCAAACATCAGTACCCAATGCAGAAATGAAGAGTACTCAGAACCTATATGATCAAATTTTGAGAAAATCAATTTAATAAGTTTGGTGAGAAGCAAAAAAATATAGAAAGCATATTAAGTATCATTTCCAATACGAAAAACTTAAGTCTGTGGAGCTTGTTGGAGGTCGCAGCAGAGGAAGGAACCGTTGTCTCCAGGCATGTTGAGGCAGAATGGCACGTGTTCCAGGTGAGCACCACAGCGATGTGTTTTCAGCCTTTCCATTGGAGCTGAAGGAAGAAAGGGAACTCAGGACTGAATTGTACAGGACAACACCTGACAGGTCACAATCTCTTTCTGAAAGTCTATCCCTTTAGCTCCCTCTCCCTCTCCCCTTTTCTGTTTGTTTCTCCACACTTCCCTTTCACCCAGGAAACCATAGATCAGAGGGGATGAGCTAAACAAAAAAAAAAAAGGACTTCCTTGAAGTATAGATAAACACAGAGCACAGCTCAGTGGCCACCTACTTTTTTCCAGGCTGTCAGGAGGAATCAGTGTGTGTAGGAAGGACTCTAGGCCTGCTGCAGCAGCAACAACATAAATTTCGAAAGCAGCTGGTGATGTTCTTCTTCCAGCGCCTCCAGCCCCTGAGTCGCTCATTTGTTGTGGATGTTGTGGGTTGAGCGGATGGTAGGGAAGTTTTGGCAGGTGCAGGACTTGGGGGCAGCTTGCTGCTCTCCTCCTCCCCAGCTTGGTCCTTCCCGCTGGGATCACATGTTTTTGGACATGGGGCAACAGATCTTATCTTCCTCCTCCTCTTTCTGTAATGTACCCATGAGTTATATACTACAGGGGGAAGAGAGTGGGGTCTGCTGCCCGCCTGCCTCTCCTGCTCAGGGGCCGAGCTGGTCATTTCATTGTGTTTGGCCATGGGGAGTGCTACTTCGGCTGCTGCTGCTGCTGCAGCTGCTGGTACCAGGGCAGCCTTGCTGCTCACAGTCTTGCCCTCTGTGTTGGAAATATGGGGTCTCCAAGGGAGGCAGGGTAGGCACACGGATCTCCTGCCTTTCCTGCCACCACTCCCCTGCTGCTGCTCAGCAGGCAGGCCTACAGCCCGGTGGCCCAAGGGAGCACTGGCTTGCTTCAAGTGTAGAGCCTGGCCGGTCCTGCATACGGGGGAGGGGCAAGGCGGAGGCGCAGGCAGTGCATGCCTCACCAGGCCCGTCAGGTCTTGGCCCTGGTCTTGCTGCTGCTTTAAGATTTTATAGGTTGCCATGGAGGCAGACAGGGCTGCCCCAACCTGGTCTGGGTCAAAACCCAGGAAATAGGCCATGACGTTTAGAATGGCCGGATCTGGCTCGGCCAGGGCACTCTGGCTGGGGCGTGGTGAGCGTGCCTGTGTTGCCTTTAACCAAGGGTGGCACAACACTTGCCTCACAGCAGGTCTCTTTTGAGGGTCAGGTGTCATCAGATACCTTAAGATATGTTGCAGTTCGGTGGAAAAGCTTTTGAATATTAGACACCTGCCCGCTAACACTTGCTGTTTTAGGACGCGCCAGGACCTGTCATCAAAAGGGATGTCGCCCATGACCATGAAGTAGAGTAGTATCCCCAAACTCCAGACGTCCACCTTGGGACCCTGGTATTTCTGCTGCTTAATCATTTCGGGGGGGCAATAAGCCATTGTCCCGCACCACCCGTCCAGCTCCTGCTGGGGCTGGAACCGCATACTGAGACCAAAGTCGCATAGCTTAGCTGTGCCCTGGCTGTCCAGCAGGATGTTTTCTGCTTTAATGTCGCGGTGAACGATGCCGTGGTCGTGGCAATAATTGACCGCCCTCACGATCTGCCTAAACAGAAGCCTGGCCTCCTCCTCCCTCAGTCTGACCACCTTGTACACATAGTCTGCTAGGTCTCCTTCCTCGAGGTACTCCATCACCAAGTTCACCCGCTGCTCTGCCTCCACCACCTGGTACAGTTTGATGATGTTAGGGTGCTCCACAGACTTTAAGATGTCCAGTTCTGTGTCAACAGATGGGCAGTTCTCCTTGCTGATCGTTTTCACGGCGACCAGGCTGTCTGTAGGCAGGTGCTTGGCCAGATAGACTGAGGCAAAGCCCCCCTCGCCGATGGTTCTCAGCACCCGGTAGTGAGCCCTGAGGAGCTCCTCGTGTGAGGAACTGGCCTCAAGGCCCTGCCGGGACCTCTCCTCTCTACTCTCACTACTCATCCTACACAGCACCCTAGCGATGCTGTCTAGGGAGAAAATAGAATCAAACAATGAAATAAAATGTATAAATGTATAATAAAGGAATACAATGTAAGTAAAATATGAATAAGTATAATAAACGAGTAATAAAATGTAACTACCTAACAAACTATCTATCTAACAATATAATGTAAATATAGAAAGAATAATAAATGAACAATATGCTAAAATGCTATCTAAAATGCTATCTAGTAAAAAAGTATAAGAAAAAAGTAGAGCAAGAAAAGAAAAAGGAAAAGTGAAAGAGAAGAGTAAAAGAAGAAAAGTGAGAAAAAGAAAAGAAAAGTAGAGGAAAAAGTCAAGAAAAAGGAAGAAAGAAGTAAGATAGGAAAAAGTAAAAGAGGCAAAAGAGAAACCAAGTCCGAGAGAGTCAAAGCCAAATCGCAATCCAAATCCAAACACCGAAAGTCAAAGCCAAATCAATAAACCAAATCCCGAAAATCAATCACTCACCAGCCACCAACCACCTGAACTCCACCCCTCCAACTACCTACAAGAGTCCACCAGTCAGCACGCGATATATATATAGCCAGGGTTATTGTGACCTCACGAAGGTGTCTGTGATGTCAGAGCTGCCAAGCGTCTCTGCCCATGTGGGTGTCGCCCCCTGTGCCCATCTCAGTTCCTGGCCTTCAGGACGCTTCTTAGATGAGCATGCCTGGACTGGCCTTGCAGTCAGGGCCTGGGCACTGTCCTTTAGCATTTTGACTTGGATTGATTTCATTATTGTTTTCATTTTAGTGCCAGCCCTGGGCCTTGAACTCTGGGCCTGGGCACTGTCCTTGAACTTCTTTTTGCTCAAGGTTAGCACTCTACCACTTGAGCCACAGACCTACTTCCCGCTTTTTCTCTTTCTGTGTTACTGAGGAATTGAACCCAGGCAAGCACTCTAGCACTAAGCACATTCCCAGCCCCTGTCCCTGAGCTTTGATACTCAAAGCTGGTGCTCTATCAGCTGAGCCACAGTCCCACTTCTATCTTCTTGGTGCTTCATGGGAGATAATAGTCTCAGGGAATTTTCCAGCCCATGTTGCCTTTGTATTAGCATCCTCATATGGCAGCCTCCTGCTTAGCTAGGATTACAGGCCTTACAGTAGCCATATGCTTACAACACACTTATGTTAAACAGAACTTAGGTTCTGTTCAGTAAGAGTCTACTCTAAGTTTTCTTAGGTGGTTATGTAGATTGATATTTAATATTTCAACCGATGGCAGTCTAGCGAGAGTGCCGATATCAAGACTCCTAGAGTGCTCATATCCGTAATCCTAGTTACGTGTGGGGTTGGAAGTGGGAAGATTGCAGTTGGAAGCCAGCGTAGGCCAAATAGTCCATGAGAGCCCATGACAAGGGAGCAGGTTGGCATCAGGGTGCATGCCTCTCATCCCAGCCAAGGTGGCAAGTGACAAATAAGATGAAGGTTCTGGCTGCTGCCTGCTACAGAAGCAAATCCCTTTCAAAAACTACCAGCACAACACTGTTCAGTAAGAAATGTACTCATTATCTAACTTAGGTAACTGCACCCTCTCTGTGTATCTCCTTTACAGGAAAATTTAAAAGAAAAAGAACAAATGATGACCACCAGCACAGATATGGCATGACTCACTGTTTATAAGGTCAGCTTAAGCTCAAACACTTCATCAAAACTCACACCTCTCTTATTCCTCAATATTCTTGTTGCTTCTGCTTTAATATTGACATTATCTTGAAGTCGAATGATCACATGAGGGCTACTCTAAACACAGTATTTTTTCATTCTGTTTGGATGGATGTCAAACACGTGTCTGATATGATATTTAGAATATATAAGCAGATTCATTGTGAACTGTGCTGTATCTAGCTGAGGCAAAGATACCCTTCAGGATTTCCTAGAAGCTTACCATTAATTTTCTCATCAAAAACAAGGGAAGCCAGAGAGATGTAGGTCAATCTATTCAGCCCCGAACATACTAATGATCAAACCCAAAATCTGTTCCAGCATCTGCGTCCCCCAGAAGTGGCACAAACACTGCGGAATTTATTTCTACCTACAGTTCTGCCCTGAACAGCTGGGTTCTACTTTCTTACAAGTATTTCTTAGAGGTCTGAAGGAAGAACTCTGGGAAAGGTACAGTTATGGATGTTTATGCAAAGTAGGCCTCTTCATTTTCTACATAATAAAGCAACTCATGCAACCCCAATCCCTAAACAGTAGTACTTTGAGACACCCATTGCATTGCATGCAGTTGGCAGCTTATGGCTTCATTCAAAAGGATGAAACCCAGGGCCTTCAACATGTGAGACAATCCTTGAACCAGCCCCTGCACAGTCCTAACCCTAACGTCCTTTTTTTTTTTTTTGAATCCTGGAGTCCACATTCCCTGTGACAAACGCAGGGCAAGAGGCTGGCACTGCCTTAAAAATGAGCACTTTGAGTGCAAAGACACATGACTGCAGCCCTCTGTGGTTCTTCTCGGTCTGTCCAAGGGGTCTCAGAATGTCAGTTAACTGAAAAGAATCATCTCCTGCTAGGCAAGGGAAGTCCAGCTGCGGCTACCTGAACAGCTGCTCTCATGTTGAGATAATCTCCACTGTGATTATGATGCATTATGATGGACTGAGAGGGACCAGAGCACAGGGAGAAGAAGGGCTCTGGTGAGAGGGTGTGGCTCAGTCTTCAGCTCTCCTATGTGGAGGAGGGTCCTTAGATAGAATAGCTTCTAGGAATGGGGCTTGGAATAGAAGCAGTGTCTTAATCCTGTGTGGTTCTGACTGGCTATTGCTCATCTATCTTCAGTAGGGCCCTTACTTAAGTAGACAGGAGAGTTGAGTTTGGGAGATGTAGTTTGTTGTGTTGAGGTGTGTGCCAGATCTGGAGCTTGATCTCAGAGTCTAGGAGCTGCCTTTGAGCCTTTGTCCTTGATTAGCATTAGCACTCTAGTATGTGAGCCACAGATTTACTCCCCGCTTTTGGGGAGGTAATTGGAGAGAAGAGTCTTATGCCTGTCAGCCTGGCTTTGAACTGAGATTCTCAGATCTCAGCCTCCTGAGTTGGTCAGATTTTAGGCTGGAGCCACTGGCACTGGGCCCCTGTGGTGCATTTGCAGTTAGGTGGTAGCTCTCCCTGTGTCCATTCATCCTGCTTGAGAACCACTGTGAGTGGTTGTTCCTTCTCCTCAGCTAATGAAGAAGGCTTTCTGCAGTGTTTTCATTTGCATAAGACATAATGCTTTGATCTCTTTCTTGCTCTCTCATTCTCTCATTCTTCTTTTTGCTCAACTTTCCCCTTTATCCACTCATACTTGACCCCCTCATTTTATTTATTCATTTATTCAACACACCCACAAACTCATACACAAACACAACCTACACCTAAACACACACACAAAGAGAAAAACAGGGAGGGAGATGGAGAGGGAGAGAGAGAGAGAGCATCCCTTCCTGTTTTCATTCATTTTAAGTGGAGCGATAATAAAATACTCCTTCTAGAGTAGTCTTCTAGTTATATAGTCAATAAATTAAAAAACTTCTTCAGTATTCGTAACCCATGAACACTTCCTATATTAGCATTTATTTTTCTATTGGCTTCTGCTTATGAATCTTTCCAAAGATTCATTTGTATTTGTTATTTTACATTTTTCATAGATGTGGTTGTTTCCACTGAGGGTTCATGGGTTTACTTGAAGTTTCCTTAGTTTTAATGAACATGGTTGTGAAGGTAGCTTTAGTGCAGCCTTGCAGCATTATTTACCATAGCCAAGACATGGAGTCAACCCAAATGCCCCTCCATGGATGAACGCGTCAAGAAAATGTGGTATATTCACAGTGGAATTCTATGCTTCCATCAGAAAGAGTGTTATTGCATCTTTTGTAAGAATATGGAAAGCCTTGGGGAAAAATATATTAAGTGAAGTAAGCCGGACTCAAGGAAACATAGGTTGCAGAGTTTCTCTCATTTGTGGTAGCTAGAATGTTGCTTATACCTCTACAAGTAAACACACTGGGTGGTAAGGAAGGGGTTACAAATGACTTCGCAAGTGAACACTTTGGGTGGTACCTAAGGAGTTAGAAATGAAATAATTGAAGTCTGAAAGACTCCAAGGAGAGCACAGACCGTGGAATTCCGGTGAGAGGCTAGAAGAATTAAGAGGGGAAGGGGAAGGAATTTGGGCAAGAATCTCTAGTATATACAACAGCATTGAAAAATATGAGGGAAGGCACCCTGTGCCTGAACGCAGGGTGAAGATTTTGATGTGATGACAGAGATTGAGATGCATTGTACATATAAACTGCTTTGCTAAATGTCAAAAAATGTATTATATAACCTAAAGTTAAGATAAGGGAAGGGCTGGGTACGGAGGGGCTGATGAGAACGTTGAAAAGGGTAACCTTGATCAAGATTCACTGTATTCATAAACTGCTTCAATGAATGGCAACTCCTTTGTACAATTACTTAAAGATAATTAAAATATTTTTTAATGAAAGGGAAAAAAAAAAAAAAAGATTGCATAGGCCTTGGTGAGTTACTGAGCCCCCTGTCAGAGGATTAAGGCTTTGGTGGGCTGCTGAGCCCTCATCAGAGTCAAATTTGGTCCCAAATTTAAAACTGCACTTCTGTGAGCTCTGGAGCAGGCAAAACTCTCTCCCTCCCTCCCCTCCCCTTAAACTCTGTTAAGGGCTAAAATTAGCTTCTGGTTACTCTCCCCTCTTCCAACTAAAGGTATTCAAAAGGTCAATTGATAGGTAAAATGCTCTTGATAATCAGGACAAATTTGGGCTCCAGGGAATCCCCACCCAGTACTCTTCAATACAAGTATTGGAAATCCTATATGCCTTGGAAAAGCCCTGGAAGAATGTCGCCCAGCAATCATTTCTTTACACTGGTTGAGATTTTAAAAAAATGGATGAGTTTAAGTTTAAACTCCCCCCAAAAGGTCAACAAGTTTGGGTATTACCAAAAGTGTAAAAGAATTATATTGTTTTAAAGAAAAAAAGCTTAGCTAAAAGGTTTTTGGTTCTTATTAAGCATGGGGATTATTAAATTCTGTTAAATCTTCTCTCTAGCATTGACCATGTGGTGGATGTGCCATCTTGGCATTGTGGTAGCTTAGTTGCTGTTTTGTACCAACTCGATTTTTGACTTGACTTGATTCTGTGACCCTCTCTGCCAACATGGTCAGCCCAGGCACCCTTATGCCAGGCTGTAAGTCTCTTCATGTCTTGTCTCCTGTTTACTAAAGGTTTTTTTGTTGTTGGTAAAGTTTGTGTTTTAAACTGACCACATTGTTTCATCATTCAGGCAAAGTAATACTGCTAAAATTTCAAAAACTTTAAATGGCCGATTTGAAAATCTAAGCATGCTCTGTAGTACCCTCATGCTCATAGACCCCTCTTTACCACCCCCCCTCCCGCCAAAGACCTCTAGGGGGCCTCACCGATGTAAATGCAGAAGAGTAGTTTATTAGAGCTCAAGCTGGAGGCAGCAGGCCAGAAATGTGAACCCCCAACCCCTTGCCCAGCAGAGTTTTTATTGGGAACATGAAGCAGAGGGAGGGGCCATTACAGCATTGGTTGTGTGGGGTTATGTGATTGGTTGGCGATTCCAGGGTGAATCCTGCACTAAATTGCTTCCCACTAGAGTTGGGGGGTTAACCAGTCAGGGCCCTCTGACCTCTTGGTCTGTGCTGATAATGTTACATTGTCTTGGAGCAGGCTCTAACACTTATCCTCCAGTAAACAGATGACAGATGTTTTCCTTAAAGTTTCCTTACTGCCGAACTTATTTGTGGTCTTTCAGCAATATGATCTGTGCACAAACATATCTGTCTGTCTGTCTATATGTAAACAGTTATGGTTTCAAGATTACCAAGTATTCTGCTTGCTAAAAAGAAAATCCGTTGTCAATGGAAGCTGTGATTTAATCTGAATTGGGTTTTTGGTTTGTCAATTTTGAGACCTGACTACAATCCAAAGAAAAACAGGCAGTTTTAAAAGGCCTTGGAAAAGGAGTTAGAAAAGATGGTTTCCTTTGCAAGGTAAATGAAGTTGCTAATTAAGTTGGTTGTGATTTATGTCATTCCTTATGTCCATCTATGCTAAAAGTTAAATATTGCACCTCTGACCACAGCTCGTAAACTAAGGCTAAGGTTGTGTTTCTCCATTTTCTCCCCTGTGCACCGATCAACTCTCTTTAAGATCAAGGAACCAGAGTGACTGAAGATGCAGTATGCTCCTGTGCATGGTAAATGCCCAGGAAACAGAACAAAGTTGCCACAGCTGCCTAAACCAGTGGCATCAGCCTGCAAAAGCCAGTGTGAACTAGGTCTGTAACCAGTGTGTAGAATTTTGCAGGTAACCAGCGGGAGGTGGACAATCCATACACACTAGGAGATGTTACAACTCACCCAGACTCTGTCCCTGCTCTGTCACACATGACCAAAAGCCTGCTAATTTGGGGTAAAAAGAGAAAGATTAGTATAAGGTTTATTAGAGGAGCCATATTTCCCCCCAGAGGGAGCACATGGCATGGCCTCAGGCATGCAAGGCAAGCGCTCTACCACTGGGCCACTTTCCCAGCCCTAAACTGCATAATTCTTTAAGCACTTTGGTGCATGAATAATTTGGTAGAGTTAATTTGGAATATCTAGTTGGACATGGTGGCTCATGCTTGCAATCCTAGCTATTTTGGAGGCTTAGATCAAAAGGATCACATTTCAAAGCCAGCCTAGGCCAAAGACAAATCAGGTTGTGAAATTCCATCTCAGTGGAAGAGGCTGAGCATGGTGATGTGCACTTGTCATCCTAGTTATTGTGGGAAACATAAAGTAGTAAGACAATCATGGTAAGACCCTGTCTCAAAATAACCAGGACAAAAAAAGGTCTGGAGCCATGGCTCAGTAGAGTACCTGCCAAGCAAATCACAAAGCCCTCAATTCAAAGACAGTATCACCTATTTTAAAAAAAAATTAGAGGCTCTGTTATTTATCAAGCAGTCTTTAAAGTATTGAGATTATTTCTTCAGTTGCTTTTCTTTTTCCCCCCTTGTGCTTGGGATCAAGTCTAGAGTTTATTGTGTATGATAGGTAAGTGCTCTATGACTGAGCCATACCCTAAGTTTCATTCAGTTATTTTTCTATCCGTTCTTCTAATGGCCATGGTGGAATTGGAGGGGAAAAACAACAACAACAAAAAAGCAATGTAGCGTTTCACTGGACAAATAAACCAAATGAATTACAATTTTGTCATTTTAAGTACTGATAAAACAGATTTATTTTCATCACCAAAGCAAATGCTCCTCTGATTTTTGTGACAATGAGTTCTGAATTATTTATGACTAGAAAGCAATCACTGCGCAGGTAGAAGAAAAGCGCAGAAAAAAACAACTAGAAGCAGAACAAAGAAGGAAGGAAGAACAAGAAGAAGAGCAACGCTTATCACGGGAACGAGAAAAGATGCAGAAACAGTATGAAGAGGATATCCTTAAGCAAAAACAAAAGGAAGTGGGTATTTACATTTAACTGTTAGCATTTTAGAATTAATAGTATATGTTTTCAGAGGAATAATAACTTTGAAGTTACTGACACTTGAACTCAGGGCCTCTTGCTGTCTTGGCTTTTTGCCTTAAGTCTCACACTCTACCACTTAAGCCACACCTCTATTTCCAGCTTTTTGCTGGTTAATTGGAGAGGAGTCTTTCTTCCCCAGGCTGGCTTTGAACCAAGATGCTAAGAGTTCAGCTTTTTCAGTAGGTAGGATTATAGGCAAGAGCCACATCCAGCACTACAAGTTGTATTTTGAAGTGGTGAAATACAAGTGGAGGCATTAAAATTTTGAATAAAAAATTGGGAAAATAAGAGAGACTCTTAAAAATGTTTTATTTCTTCACATGATAAAGTTCTCAAATGCTGTATTAACTGGCCTTTGTGCAAATGGAGGAGGTCAAGATGAATTATAGCATAATGCTAGTCATCCATATATGTGATTGTTATCTCCTACATATTAGAGGTGTGTAGACTTCATTTGTAAACCATGATTATAATGTAATTCTGTATAGAAACGATGGGCATTTCTATCCTTATCTACCAATGAAAAAAGAAGCTCCTTTTGCAAAATGGTTGGGATTGATGAAACAATCGGTGGCTGTATTAGTAGTCCTTTTGCTAAAATAAGAGCCAATTCAACGAGAGTATCTCAATAGCTAGGAGAGCTTTTCTATTAAATGATTTAGATACAGGAAGTAGAGTGTTGTCAGGTGCCATGATTGAGCCAACTTACAAAGAGCAATCATATAGTGGCATTCAGTTTCCAAAGACTAAAAGTTTAGCAATACAATAGTTTCTTATCTTTTCCCACTTGGCACTCAATGACTATTGGCTGGTAAAGGGACATGTGGTGTAGGTTCCCATTTCATTGACTTAAGTCATCTAAGGCTGCAACGTTTATGTGATAGCACGTGAAGTCCATAAATACTGTATTCTTTGAATATTTATGATAATCACAAGGCTCTAGACAAGTGCCTGACATCCAGGAAAGTTAGGAAATACTGAGAGTAGTCAATTTAATAACCATATACATGAATATGTTGTTAGGAAATCATGACTCTCAAGACAAATGAGCTATACCAAAAAATGCAGAGGGCTGGGAAGGTGGCTCAGTGGTAGAGCGCTTGCCTTGCATGCTCAAGGCCCTGGGTTCGATTCCTCAGCACCACATAAGCAAAAAGAAAAAAGCCGGAAGTGGCGCTGTGGCTCAAGTGGTAGAGCACTAGCCTTGAGCTGAAGAGCTGAGGGACAGCGCCCAGGCCCAGAGTTCAGGCCCCATGTCCGGACCCAAAAAAAAAAAAAAAAAAATGCAGAGAGCACAGTAGTTAGCACAGAGACTGAAACAAGAACAGAGAATCTGAGCATTGGCTCAAAAAGGACATGATACTTCTAGATTGATGAAAAATCTTGATGGTAAGTGATTAACCCGAACTTCATAATTTTTGAAGATGATTTTAACCACTTGTCTATTTCTAACATTATTTCACAATAAAAAATTTTTAAGGAACTTCAGCTCTTCAGCTAATCTAACTTTAGTAAATAGGAGTGCTTTTAGGAAATAATCTTAGAAATAGAGTTAAGTAAGTTTTCAGTATCTTTTTACACATAAGTTTTTCTTACATATTGTCTATAGCAATCATGACACTGATAAAATAAATTTGTATGCATTTGTACAAAGAAAGCAGTTACTGAGGGGCTGGGAAAGTGGCTCAGTGGTAGAGTGCTTGCCTTGCTTGCATGAGGCCCTGGGTTCCATTCCTCAGCACCACATAAGCAGAAAAAGCTGGAAGTGGCGCTGTGGCTCAAAGTGGTAGAGCGCTAGCCTTGAGCTGAAGAGCTGAGGGACAGCGCCCAGGCCCAGAGTTCAGGCCCCACCACCGGCAAAAAAAGAAAGAAAGAAAGAAAGAAAACACTTACTGAGTGATCTCTGTAAATCCAGTAATGGGTAAGAATGCAAGAACTTTTTAATGAAATTTTTATTGCAGCATTCATTCTGAGTCAAGTCCTGTGTTTAGTTACTGTATGTATTTACTTTTTTTTCACTACTGAATCAGACCTAGTCTTGCAAGGTAGGCAAGTACCACCACTAAGCTACAATCCCAGTCTCCTACACATAATTTCTCTTAATAATGCTGTGTATCATTTGAAAAATATTTTTTCCTATTGCAAGTGGATGATAAGGTGTCCCCTAAGATTTCAAGCTCAAGACATGACTCTGATGAAGCTGGCAGCAAAATAAATACATGTATCAGTTCTACTACTTCTCCCAAGAAAGATACTGGTGTGCAAACAGGTATTCATATCGAAATTTTTATTTGAAATTTCCTTAATGCCAAAGCATTAGCACTGAGTTCCATTTCAAATGTAAAACTTGTGATTTATGAGAAAATAAAATGAGCTATTCTTTTTTTTTTTTCCACTGATACTGGCTTGAACTCACCACCATAGCCTTTTGCTTGTTAACTGGAGATAAGGAGTCTTATACAGAATTTTCTGCCCCAGTTGCCTTTGAGCCGTGATCTTCCAGGAATCACGGCATCCTGAGTAGCTATGATTATATATAAGAGTGAGCCCCCAATGCATCTCTTGGTTTTTAATTTTTTGTACTAGATTTATTTCAGATATGAGTCACAAATTTACCACCCTCACCCCCGCCCAGGACCTTACAGGTTTAGCAAATGGTTTACCATTGAGCTACAGCTCCTACCCAAAACTTACCCTTTCATGGGCATAGTTAGCATTTTTCAGTATATTCCTAATAATTGAGCAGTCACCATCATTATAGAACTTTTCCCTCACTCTGATCTAGTAACCCATTAAGTTAGCAGGGGAGTCTCTTCATTTTCTGGTTTGCTTGTTCTGCACATTTCATGTTACTAGAATCAAAATGTTCCTTTGTGTCTGGCTACTCTGCTTTAGGATAATGGCAGTAAGTACATTATTCCTGAATAGTATTCTGTTGTATATATAATACATTTTGTTCTTCATGATTTGATGGACGTTTATTTGTACTCCTGGGCTATTGTGAATAATGTTGCTTTGAACATTCATGTACAGATTTTGTGAAAAAGGAAAAACAGAATTTCTGGATCATGTGATAATTCTTCCAAACTGTCCAGACTCCAAAGCAGTTATCCAGCCATCAATATAATAGGGTTCTAATTTCTCCTTGTGATTGCCAACACTTGTTATATGGGGGGCATATTAAGTGGTTCTGAATTGTATTTCCCCACCAATTGTATTTTATGAGCATCTTTTCATGTCTGGTTTTCAATTCAAATCATCAGGCAATGTCTTGGGTTGGAAGTCAATGGGTTTTTTCCCCCTCCCCACTCCCCTTGGTGGCCCATGCCCTGTAATCTTAAATATTTGGGAGGCTGAGACTGGAATACAGTAGTTCAAAGCCAGCCTGGGCAGACAAATCCCCAGGACTCTTTTATCTCCAGTTAACCAGCAAAAAACTAAAAGTGGAAATGTTGTTGAAGTAATAGAGTGCCATCTTTGAACAAAAAGTCCAAGCAGGGGCATAAAACCGTGATTTCAAGCCTCAGTACTAGCACAAGAAAAAAGATTAAGTAAGGCCTCAAAGACAGTGTATTCATAGCCTCAATGAATATGGTAGTAAAAAGTTGTATATACTATATAGTGGAATTCGCTTTAGTAAGAAATTGATACATGCCATTGACTAAATGTTATGGCAAGTGTTTAAGCCATTTACAAAACAATATAACTCCATTTACTGGGATATTATCTATAGTAGTGAATGTCTAGAAACAAAGTAGCATACTGGTTGCCACTGGGGCAAGTAATGAGAGGTGGGTAGTTTCAGTTTTAAAATTAGAAGTCTTAAAGTGTAACTAATAAAATTGTTTAACATTTGAGAAAAATGATAGAAGTGGTAAACTTTTATATGTCTGTTTAAAAAGTCATCATCTTTTTTTTTAGATGACTTAATTACAAGAAATTTCACTAACACATTATCACACTGTGGATCAGTGAGAGAAAGGGAAAATACACCTTGTTCTTCTCCCCAGAGTTCTGTAGAATTTCATGGACAGCTTAACACTAAGAAAGACAAGCAAGAACTAAATCAGGATAGAGTAGGCAACTTAGAAAAAGAAAATTGCTGGTTTAATGAGCAATGTAAACAGTCTATAACAGAGAAATAAACAAAACTCATGAAGAAATGTCCCACAAGGCCGACTTGGAATAGAAATAAGCCTCTCAAAAGGTATGTTCCAGCATCAGAAAAGTACCCTAAACAGCTTCAAAAGCAGAGAGGAGAAAAAAAAGTAAGAAGACAGATGGAACTGCTTCAATTGGTAGAGAAAAATAATTCTGAACACCTTTCTCAAAATAGAGGCACTTCGCCAGAAGATTTTCATTCATCCTATCCAGAAACAGAGTCAAAAACCAGGTGGCATCTAATGAACAAGGTAAAGCTCCTCTTTCTCATTTTTAAACATGCATGAATCTCTAAACTCAAAACACAAATCTCAGCTGGGAATGTGGCTTGATGGTAGAGTGCTTGCCTAGCATGCATGTAGCCCTGGGTTTGATTCTTCAGTACCACAGAAAAAGCCACAAGTGGTGCTGTGTCTCAAGTAGTAGAGTGCTAGCCTTGAGCAAAAGCAGCTCAGGGACAGTGCCTAGGCCCTGAGTTCAAGCCCTAAGACTGGCAAAAAAAAAAAAATTCCATTTGTCCAACTTTTCTTTGATTTGTTGTGTTTCCAGGTCTCTATTCAGAAAATTTCGGCCTGAGCCAAGGAGACCTAGGGTTTCTCCTATTCCATCCTGTAATGTTTTCAGAGTGTCTGCTTTGACTTCGAGGTCTTTGATCCATTTGGAGTTGATTCTGGTGCAGGGTGATATATAAGGATCTAGCTTTAGTTTTCTACAAGTAGTGAAAGATTGAAATTGGGGCTATGTTCATTTTACAATATGCTAACTGCTAATTCTGCTTCTGTAAACCTGCTTGTGCTAACACTGACTCTTCCCCTCCCAGAAATAAGTTACAAAGTTACAAAGTCCAGATGCAGGCCCAGGGACAAGGTCTGCAAACATAGGTAAAGAACGAAAGAGTATGTTCTTCTAAATTCCTGTTTAGAAACTCTCAGCAAGGGGCTCAAGACAAGGACCATCTGGCGAGCCCAGCAAACTAAGTCAAATGTCAACCAATCACGAGCCTGTAACTATGTGGATTCCCCCCCCCCCCCCCAGGGAAGCCTCCCCCTAGAGAGCCAACCAGTTTACCAGTAGTGTTACAAGACTTCCCACACAACAAAATGATTGCTGGAGTATATGATAAGTTTTAACCTGAGCCAATCCTGGGGAGCCTGGGGTCTTATGCTAATCCTGTGGTTTTTGTCTTTAAAAGTGCCTGTAACCACTGCTCGGGGCTTCCAGTCTGCCTTGGACAGGGAGCCCGTTTGCGCAAATGCCTAATAAACTCCTCTTGCTTATTGCATCTGCTGGTTTGGAGTCTTGGTTCTTGGGGTGCCCTCCCCTTGAAGAAAGCATCCCAGTGAGTCTGGGGTCTTTCAGTAGTTAACCAATTTTGCCAGCACCATTTACTGAAGAGGCTATCTTTGTTCCATTCTATTGTTTTAGCTCCCTTATCGAAGATTAGATGGCTATAGTTCTGTAGGTTCATTTCTGGATTTTCAATTCTATTCCTCCCACCAGCTGGGAGAAGGAGAGAGCAATTCCAGGCCAGCTACTTTCTCAGGCTTGGCACCCACTTCTCCGCACCTCGACAGCTCAGGGTTGCTGGATGCACCTATGACTTCTGCCAAGGCCCGGAGCGGGGCTCCAGGTGGAAGTGAGGGCCGCTGTGCTGTATGTGGGGACAACGCTTCATGCCAGCATTACGGGGTCCGCACCTGTGAGGGTTGCAAGGGCTTCTTCAAGTGCACAGTGCAGAAAAGCGCCAAGTACATCTGCCTGGCAAACGAGGACTGCCCTGTGGACAAGAGGCGGCGGAACCGCTGCCAGTTCTGCCGCTTCCAGAAGTGCCTGGCTGTGGGCATGGTGAAAGAAGTTGTGCGGACAGACAGCCTGAAAGGGCGGCGGGGCCGACTACCTTCCAAACCCAAACAGACCCTGGATACCTCCCATGTCAATCTACTCACTTCCCTTGTGTGGGCACATCTGGACTCAGGACCCAGCACTGCCAAACTGGACTACTCCAAGTTCCAGGAGCTGGTGCTGCCCCGTTTTGGGAAGGAAGATGCTGGCGATGTGCAGCAGTTCTATGACCTGCTTTCAAGTTCCCTGGATGTTATCCGAAAGTGGGCAGAGAAGATCCCAGGCTTTACTGAGCTGTCCCCAAGTGACCAGGACCTGCTGCTGGAGTCAGCCTTCTTGGAGCTCTTCATACTCCGTCTGGCCTACCGGTCTAAGCCAGGGGAAGGGAAGCTTATCTTCTGCTCAGGCCTGGTGCTGTACCGGTTGCAGTGTGCCCGGGGCTTTGGCGACTGGATTGACAGTATCCTAGCCTTCTCGCGGTCCCTGCACAGCCTGGTTGTTGATGTCCCTGCCTGCTCTTGCCTCTCTGCTCTCGTCCTCATCACTGATCGGTATGGGCTGCAGGAGCCAAGGCGGGTGGAGGAGCTACAGAACCGCATTGCCAGCTGCCTGAAGGAGCACATGGCAGCTGTGGCGGGTGAGACCCAGCTGGCCAGTTGCTTGTCATGTCTGCTGGGCAAACTGCCTGAGCTGCAGACCCTGTGTACCCAGGGCCTGCAGCCCATCTTGTACCTCAAGCTGGAGGACTTGGTGCCCCCTCCACCAATTTTTGACAAGATCTTCATGGACACACTGCCCTTCTGACTCCTGCCCTGAACGTGTGTGCAAACCTATCTGTACACTCTTACACCACCCTACATGCCTTGAGCCCACGGACCCCCAGAGCATCTCCTAGCCTGGATCTGAGCTGCCGACTGTCCTTCCTCCTCACCTACTTCACGAGGTTGGCAGGGAGCTCAAGTTCTGTGGGAGGGGGTGCATTCACAGGGGTGACCCCACAATTTGTCTTATCCCCTAGCCCAGACCTGGCCTTCATTTTTTTTTTTTTATAAAATAAATCGTTTTTAACACATGCCACCCTACTGTAAATAAGCCAAATGCTGCTCTAAATACAGGAAGGAAGAGGTTGAGATCGGGGTTGGGAGGAAGGGATGGGGACCCTCCACCAGCCTTGGGCAAGCCTTTCTAGCCTCTTTCAACTCCCTCTCTCCCCAACCTCCTTCCACATGTACACAGACTGTCACTCGAGGACAAAGACAAATGACAGATTCTGACATTTATACTTGTGTATTTTTCCTGAATTTATAGTATGTGACTTTTCTGATTAATATATTGAATAAAAATAGACATGTGGCAGAAAAAAAAACAAGCAAACAAACAAAAAAACACCCACATGCTTAAGATTTCTGTTGTAAGATACAAGCTACAAAAAAATGGAAACAAAAATATCACCACTCTTTAGCAGGAAAATAATGTCCAGAGTTGTCTGCATGGAATTGTCTTAAACTATCTGGATATTATATAATATATATAGTCTCCGGAGATTCTTATGTGATTGTTGGGTGGGTCCTGTCAATTAACTAAAAGTTCAACTCTGAATCTATGCCCTTTCATCTGGTGCAGTTCCTCTGTAATCACCTCTTTGTAGAAGAAAAGCAGATTCTCATCATCATCTGTATGGAATGGAAACTGCCCCTCAAACAAGTAGTGTCTTCTTTCCATAATATTAATGGACACAGTTAAAATCCTCAGGAGCCCATCTTGTTCCAGTGATAAAGCGGTAACTTTCCTGGAATTCCTCTAGGGATGAAGACTGAGCTAATAATGGTCAACAAGGCAATACCTGTGACTTGGGACTTTTTACCTATGTGAATACCTTTTTCCCATCACTTATTTAAAGTGAAGCCAATGTCTCTATACATCTGAAGAGACTAAAGGTGTATGGAAGTGTCATCTTCCCAGGGCTGCAATATAATAAACCTATCTCTGTCCTTTGCCATTTTTTCTTGGCATATGGAGGCAAATGGCCAGACCAAACCCGCGACTTCTGGACTTTGGGCATGAGGTCTAAAAACCCGGTTTCAATATGATCACAGATAATTTTGAAAAAGAGAAAAGAATATCCAAACAGCTATCACTCACAAGTTTTTCTTTCTCCAGTTTTTGCAGTAAACTTTCCAAGTTATTTCCAATTCTTGGCTTTTCTACAACTTCATAAAGGTTACAATACATCCCATTCTTCAAAACTGGTAAGAAAAAAATAACATGGTAAATATCCAAATCAAGTTCTTCTGATAATTTTTTTTATTGTGAAAATACTGTATAGAGGCGTTACAATTACATGGGAAACATAATGAGTACAATTTTTATCAAGCATTGTTGCCTCCTCCTTCACCCCCCCCCCCCCGTCTCCGCCCCCACCCGATAAAATTTTTTAAAAAATTAAATTACCTTCATTGGGACCTAAGTAGGTTTCCTTATAAAACAATGCTGGAGGAATTTTCTGCTTCAGATGATCAATACTCATAACTGTTTCAACATCTAACTTCTCAGGACTGAAAGAAAATAAATAACATGTTGCCATGCCTGAACTGTAAATTCTAATAATGTTATGCCTCTCCCTCTTCTTCCTTCCCTCCCTCTCTCCCCCACTTTCTTCTCCCCTTCATCAGACAAATATATACACTTGGTAGAAAATAGAAGAGTATATTCATTAATAACTTACTTGCTTTATTGTAAAGAGTACTTGATATAGAATGTTCAGATACCTATATATAGGTAAATAGATTTGTAGCAACACTGCCCACCTTCCATACCCTTAGGCCAGAAGTTAATCCTACGTCAATTTTACTAACCACAAACAATAAAAGCTATGATTTTTATTTAAAATAATTAAAGTATAAACTTTCATTTCTTTTTTGAAGTGCTAGAGAATCAAACCCAGAATTTTCATTCTACCACTGTGCTAAATCCTCAGCCCTCAGTAACAAACTAGTTAACTTTTATGTCTACTAGATATAAAACATCGAGTGAAAAACAATCTATATAATCAGGATAAAACTTTCAAAAATTATCTTTCAGCTGGGCACTGGTAGCTCATACCTGTAATCCTAGCTACTCATACTCATTTCTTAGGGAACAAAGTAAAATGTAAGTGTGAAAAAAATATAAAAAGCTAAAGAAACTGAGAGAACTGCATTAGTGAATTGCTATTTAATGTTCCATACTTACAGCTTAATAGGCAAAAATGCCTGCGTGGATGACCTCAAAGAAATATAGCACAGAAGCTTTCCTTTATTTAAAAGCTGTCCTTTCCATAAAGTGTAGTTACATTTATCTAAACAAAAAGAATGAGGAGATCATTGCTTGAGCCAGAGAAGTATGTAATTACTAGAAATGAGAAATACATATTTACTAGAAAGTACCTAGAAATAAGGTTTAAGTTGAAAAACACAGAGGTAACTTTCCATTTTGGAAAAATCCAAATATTGAGATTTTAGCTTCAAGTACCTTTTTCTTTATGCCCACAATGTCACCTATTTGCTCATTTTTGTTATGAAGCATTTTAAGATGTCAATGTTGCTTGTAACTCATTTTTACCTTTAGTAAATACAAAGTCTCTGCTGACTTTAATAATTTTTTTTTTTTTTGGAAGTGGCGCTGTAGCTCAAGTGGTAGACTGCTTGCCTTGAGCTGAAGAGCTGAGGGACAGTGCCCAGGCCCAGAATTCAAGCCCCATGACGGACCAAAAAAAAAAATAATAATAAAATAAATAAATGAATACGTTTTTTTTTTTTTTTTTTTGTCATGGGGCTTGAACTCTGGGCTTGGACGCTGTCCTTGTGCTTCTTCAGTTCAAGGCGAGCACTCTACTGCTTGAGCCACAGCACCACTTCCGGTTTTCTAGCGGTTTATTGGAGATAAGAGTTTCACCATCTTTCCTGCCTGGGCTGGCTTTGAACCGCGATCCTCAGATCTCAGCCTCCTGAGTAGCTAGGACTACAGGTGTGAGCCACCGGCACCCGGCTTGACTTTAATAATTTTAAAACGCAAGTAAGCCAGGCATGGTAGCCCATACTTATAATGTTCAAACACTAGGGAGGCTGAGGCTTCCAATAGTATGAAGACAACCTGAACTATTTAAAAAATACAAGTGGAGCGTTAAGTCTGAGCAATGTAATCTATTTTTATCTTTAAAAATAAAATTATGTGTTTCAAATACTTTTGTCATTTTTTTCAATTAGAGTACCTCTTCTTAAAAAGACACTTATGCATACATGATGACAAAATGTTGATCTTATAACATGGACTTACTTGCTTTTTCATACTTTCAGATTTTTATTCATTACAAACATTTATTCATCTTTCACTATTGAAACTTGTTTTAACTTATAAAACTAAAAAAAGAAAACTCTTACCTATGTTTCTATCTGCATTAAAGCTGTTAGATCTACAAACAAATTTTTAAAAAGAAAAAGAAATTATTGATTGGCAACAACATGAAAGTTAACATTCAGGACCTTAATATAAGTGTTATTTGTTTTTGTTTGTTTGCAATTCTGGAGATCAAATTCATAGCCTTATGAACACAGGGCAACTGGTCTACGTTAAGCCCCAGACTGAGTGCTGTCTCTAAGCAATTTTTGCTAATGGTTAACATTCCACCATTTGAGCCACACCTCTACTTCCAGCTTCTTGGTAGTTAATTGGAGATAAGAGTCACAGCCTTTCCTGCCCAGGACCGCTTCAAACAACAATCCTCAGATCTCAGTTTCCTGAATAGCAAGTATTGCCAACGGTGCTAGGTCTTAGGTGCTATTTTTGTTTTTGTGTTTTGCCAGTCCTGGGGCTTGAACTCAGGGCCTGGGCTGTGTCCCTGAGCCTCTTTGTGCTCAAGGCTAGCACTCTACACTTGAACCACAGTGCCACTTCCTGCTTTTTCTGAGTAATTTATTAGAGATAAGAGTCTCATAGACTTTCCTCCCTGGGCTGGCTATAAACCACAATGCTCAAATCTCAGCCTCCTAAGTAGCTAGGATTACAGGTATGAGCAACTGAAACCCAGCTTAAACATTTATTTCGTGACTTTATGAATTATAATGGCTTTGGATTCTAAACATTATGCTTTGAGAGCTTTTTTGTTTTTTTAGTTGTACCGGAATTTGAACTCAGGACCTTTTGCTTGCTCAGCTTTCTTGTTTGTCTGGCATTCGCATCAATTGGGATATATCTACAGCCCAGTTTTTTGCTGGTTATTTTATCTTGTCTCTTTTTTGGTACTGGGGATCAAACCCAGGACATTGCACTTACTAGGCAAGCACTTTGTCACTGAGCTACATCCCAGCGTGCTACTTTTCATGGTATATTGCACAAGAAAATAAAAGCAGAAAGAACAAATTAATTTGTAATTACTCATTAAAGTAAACCAAAGACTATTTATAAAGAAAAATAAGTACTTACATGAGATGTTTACTTCCAATTTACCACCCAAAACCTGGAAATGGAACTGTGATTCAAATGGCTGAGTGCTAGCCTTGAGCAAAAAAACTGAGACACAACGCGTGGGTCCTTAGTTCAAGCCCCAGTACTAACACACACACACACACACACACACACACACACACACACACACACACACACACACACACACACACACACCTTTCCTCCTATTACCATATTTATACATACTTAAGGCAGGTAGGGATAAAAATGCCAGTACCAGTGTCTCACCCCTGTAATCTTTGCTATACTTAGGAGGATGAGACCTGAGGATTGAGGTCAGAAGCCAGCCTGGGCAGTTAAGT